GTCGTGAAGCCCTTCCCGCAGTCGGGACACGGGTAGGGTCGCTCGCCTGTGTGGACTCTCCGGTGCGATTTGAGGTGGGAGCTCCGGCTGAAGCCCTTCCCGCAGTCAGGACACGGGTAGGGACGCTCGCCCGTGTGGACTCTCCGGTGAGCCGTGAGGCTGGAGCGCCGGCTGAAGCCCTTCCCGCAGTCGGGACACAGGTAGGGTCGCTCGCCCGTGTGGACTCTCCGGTGCACCATCAGGTTGAAGCGTACACAGAAGCCCTTCCCGCAGTCCGGACACTTGTAGGGTTGCTCAGCCGTGTGGTTACTCCGGTGGACCAGCAGGTCCGTGCTCCGGCTAAACATCCTGCCGCAGTCGAGGCAGCGGTAGGGTCTCTCTGCTGTGACGTGCTCTAGCAGGGCCGTGCTGTCAGCTCCCTCCTGGTGAGACAGGTGTGAGCGCAGACGGACGCTTTCCCTACCCTCAACACTTTGACGGGGTCTCTGCCCCGAGTGGCAGCGCTGGTGTTTGGGCAGGTTCCAGGTCTTGACGAAGCTCTTCCCGCAGTCGGCACAGACACAGGGCTTGACCCCAGCGTGGATCCCCCGGTGCCGCACCAGATGTGACTGCTGCATGAAGCCTTTCCCGCATTCGGGGCATTTGTAGGGTCTCTCTCCTGTGTGAAGCCTCTGATGTGCCATGAGGGTCGACCTCCGATCAAAGCGTCTCCCGCAGTCGGGGCACTGGCAGGGTTTCTGCCCCGAGAGGATTCTCTGCTGGATGGCGCGGGCTGCGCGGGGGCTGGAGCTTTTCCCACCCTTGTGCACCGTCTGATGTCTCAGAAGATGTGATCTCCAGCGGAAGCTTTTCCCACAGCGGAGACATCGATGGGCGGTCCTGCTCGGATGTTCTGGAGGCACCGAGCTCTGCTGGAAGCTTCCCCCACATCTGTGGCATGCGTCTTCTCGGGGGGTTCCAGGACAGAGCATCTCTCGTGAGCCCTGCCCACATTCAGCGCCTGCATTTCCCGTCCCTCTGTTCTGCTTCCCCTTAAGGTCCAGGAGCTGTTTGAGTTTCTTGAAACATCCCTCTTCAGGAGCGGATTTACCCTCTCTCTCCCCGGGCAGGTTTCCCCGCTGCTCCTCCGACCTGCCCTGACTCTCGCTAGCTTCTCCCTGGCAAATGTTCCCCTGGGACCTTCCTGAGAACGTCCAGTGTGGTTCTGCCAACTCAGGACCTCCCTGCTGGGGATTCTCCTCCTCGTTCTCACTGGCTGTCCCATCACCTGCTGGGGGAAGGAGAGAACCCAGCATGAGTCACTCCCTGTGCTGGGTTTGTCACACAGGCAGAAGCTTTTGCCAATCTGAACAGTCAGTAGCTGAATCTTCCCCAAACTCCTCCCCACAGCTGGAAACTCACGAACTTCAGCATCGATACCACAGTACAGAGGATGGGAGAAGGAAGGGAATACCTGCTTGGTGCATCCACAGCTGTTCTCCTCGCTCCATGTGGGAGATCAGGTCAGGTTTAGGGATGGGGAATCCTGCCCCGGGGAAGAGAGAACAGGAGAGATCAGGGCTGGTTACAGATTCCCGGTTTCCTCGTTACACAGAGGATGCTGGGAAGATCCCAGCCCTATGTTCGCCAGCGAGGACCTGCAACCCGAGTAGATGGGAAATGCCCATGGTGACTTACCCAGCCAGGTCACAGTCTCATAATTCTCCCGCATGACGTCCCTGTAGAGGGCTCTCTGAGCAGAGTCCAGCAGAGCCCACTCTTCCACGGTGAAATACACAGCCACCTCCTCGAAGGTCACTGCCTTTGCTGCAGCCATTCCCTTTTCCTGCCCTCTGGGAGGACGGAACAACCTGGAGCGAAACACGGATGTTCTTCTGCAGCCTGTCAGG